AAAGTCTGGAGGTTTAGTATCAGGGTTGCAGGATAGGGGCTTCTAGAATTTTTCATACTTCTGTCCCGGGGCTGGGGGGAGGGGGGTTTGTCAGGGCTCTCCATAGATGATCTGTGTATTGTATTGTGCCCCCTTATGGTAGTTACCGGTCGATATATTTGCATGCCACTTTATTCATGGTTTATGTTTAGATAATTATTTATGTGATTTCTGCTGGAGTTACTAATGCTCTTTTGCTTTTTGTTTTTTGTTTTTGTTTTCCTTTTCCTTTTCCTGAGCCGAGGGTCGATTGGAAACAGCCTCTCTGCCCTTTCGGGTAGGGGTAAGGCCTGTGTACGTATTACCCTCCCCAGACCCCACCTTGTGGGACTATACTGGGTAGTTGTTGTTGTTGTTGCTCACTCCTCTCTCTTTCGTTCACTCTCCCCTCTTTCTGGTTACGTGTGTATTTAAGTTAAAATAAAGAAGAAAGGAGAAAGGTCTTTCACCCCAAAAATGATCCCTTTCCCCTTTTCTGTGCCCCTTTTATTGCTATCTTGGGGAAAAAACTAATGTGTGTTCCCCTTTAAAGAAAACTGTCAAAATTACCAAAATGATCAAAAGGAATTCAATTCTGTTAGGTGAACACGTGATTTTTTTGGAGGAAAGATGGGAAACCACTTTAATTTTTCTTTCTTGCTTCTTCCGTTCTGCTTTTGCCTCATTACTCTTTTTTCATTTTTCTTGGTTTTCTTGTTTTGTTTTTGTTTTTTTTTTTTGGTTAATAAAATAAATTATTTGATAATATAGAAAGATAAAAAATGCTATCTACTCAAAATTCATTTATTAAAATTCTTAACTTGAAAAGAATAGGGTAGACTCTTTAAAAACATATTTTGGAACTTTTTTTTTCTTTTGAAAACAAGAACACAATTAATATGTAAATTAGTGACTATTTTTGTTGTAAAATAGTGAAAACAAGAACACAATTAATTGTTGCTTTCGAGGTAAGCGATGGCCACAGCGTCGTTTCTACAATTGTCAGTGGCTCATCAGTGTAATATATGGTGATCCTCGTGCTGTTGGCAAATTGTGCGGATATTTAATTTAAAAATTTGTTTGTTTGCCAGGAAAATTCAATAAGAAATTTCTGTTTTTTCTTTTAGTTTCCTCCTTCCACCAAAACCCTTTCCCGGGTGCATGAAAATAACAAAAGCTTATTTTTATGTGGAATCAAATATATGTAGACATAGAATTTAAATTAGTGAACGTACCTTAATTCGAAAACTTCCATTACTACACGGGAGTAGAGTGAGTGACTATTCTTTTGAGGCACTGTTTTTGGGCAGAGACACTGAGAGAGGGATAGTGATAGCAACGTGAATTGGTGGGGGGGGGGGGGTAGCATATATTTGTGCCTTGGAATTTGGGATGGGAAAGAGAAATTTCTCTTTGTATAAATATTTTAAAGGCAGACACATAAACCTTCTCATCGTTTGGCTTTTTCTGGGACTTAATCTGAGCTAGCGTTTGGGCATAGATTTCAAATTTGTTTTGAAAAATTTGATTTGGGTGAAGTTTGGTTTAAAAATAAAAATGTGTTTGGACATACTGAATGGGTCCAAATTTAACAGACCACGACCAACGACGAGTACGACGACCCTAGCAGTAGTGTATAGCTATTAGGGGACATCAGGAATATTCCTTGAAATATTCTCTGCTCTTTGTTTTGTGCGGTTTAGAAGGGTTCCTCTACGAGTATAAATAGAGGACTATAACCTTGTAATGAGGAGGATCTTTTCCCAAAAAAACAGTATTATTGGCAAATAGAAATCTTGTAATCTATCTTCTCCGTTGCTATCAATCTTTAAAGAGATTATTACCTTCAGCTAAGAGTTACTCCTTCATCTTTGATTGATTTGTTCAAAAAGGTTCTAGTATCTTTTGAGTCAAACAATTTGGCGCCGTCTGTGGGAATTTCTATAGCTGAATTCGTAGTTTTCATCTAGATTCTTGAAAGCAACAATCTCTTTCTTCAACATCATAAAAACCAGCAATGGCGGGAAAGGGAGAGGCGAGGCTAAAGGCAGTAGTGGATGTCACGAAATACCTCCCGAACTCCCTCAACGAAGCCAGCGGGGAAGACTGTGAGAATGCAACACCAAGTGTCACACCGGAGGGGGAGATCTTGCCTCCCTCACACGGAGATCTAACGATCTTGCGCGAGAAAGGAACCTCAACATCCGCGGTAGGAGAAATGCCGCCGGCTGTCAAAAAGCTACTAGAAGAATGGCTGACAAGTACCTTGAGCAACATGCTCGAGAAACCCCTCAGAGAGATATCGAAGACACGTCACCCGCAGAAACCGCAGCTATTGCCAATGAGCCAGACGCTACACGAACAGGTAACACCCGTACTGTTACTGATACGGGCAACGGTACAATCACAGCCATCTTAAAGAAAATGGAAGAGATGGAAAGTAAGAACAAAATACTCCGCGACCAGATGAAAGAACACCAGGAGAGGGTTGATAAAATACCAGGCGCTCCAAAGTTACTACCAAAACACGATGCGGGCCTATTTGTCGAACAACCATACAGCGAAGGGGCAGCTCCCCATTCTATTCCAAAGACCTTCAAAATGCCGCCATACTTGAAATATACGATGGAACTACGGACCCGGAGGACCACTTGATCCATTACGTTACCACAGTAAAAGGTAATGATCTGTCAAAAGAACATGTACCGTCTGTGCTGCTGAAAAAGTTCGGCGAAACTCTGACCGGGGGAGCATTGACGTGGTATTCCCAACTACCAGCACGATCGATATCGACATTCGAGGAAATGGCGGATAAATTCGCTACCGCTCACGTGGGAGCAAAGAAGGCCGAGGCTAGGGTTAATGATATCTTCACCGTCAGACAAACGGCAGGCGAGGGAGTTCGGGATTTCCAAGCCCGATTCAACAAAGTAAGGATGAGCCTGCCGAACGTGTCAGAAGGGATGGCAATAGCAGCCTTTGAAAATGGGTTAAACAGGAACGGATCAAAGGCAACCAAAAAACTACTCAGTAGACTCATGAAGTACTCCCTTACCACGTGGGAAGAGATCCACAACGCCTATTGCGCCGAAGTGAGGGCAGACGAGGATGACCTAAACGGCCCGCTTCAGCAATTAACGTCAGTCCAGACCGAGCCAAGGAGAGATCAACGTAACGATGGGCGAAGGGATCAATTACCACGTTTCAATCGATAAAGGCATCAACCCTACATCCGAACATCCAATCCACCCCCTCCACGACACACGGATATCGCGCCCCAACATATTGCACCCCTTCGCAACGAAAGAGGTATGCCTCCACTACTATCTGCTCATAATTTTTGTGTTTCCCCTTTAGAGATAGTGTACGCACTGGAAAAAACTGGGCACGAAGGTGCAGTGGACGCAAAAGATGAAATCGGATCCAAGCACCAGGAGGTCGAACGTCCTGTGTGAATTCCACCAGGAGAGAGGACACAAGATCGAAGATTGCATAGGTCTGCGACAAGAAGTAGTGAGGATGTTAAACCAAGGATATCTAAAAGAACTGCTAAGCGATAAAGGACGGGCCAACTTTGCTCGAGGGCGCGATCAACCTCAAGGGCCTCCAAAGCCACCGTCACCGGCTCGTACCATACAAATGATCATTGCGGCGGCAATGATGCGGCGATCAACCACGTAAAATTCACCACCACACATAAACTCAAATGGACAATTGACCACGAACGGTATGACGACCTCGAAGACAGTATCATATTCGATAAGTCGGATGCCGACGGTTTGTCTTTTCCTCACTATGATGCTTTGGTTATAACGTTACGCATCGTGAATAACGATATAAAAAGAATAATGGTAGATGACGGAAGCGGCGCGTGTATTATTCACCCGCGAGTTCTCATGTAGATGAGACTCGAGGATAAAATAATACCGCGTTGCATAACACTAACGGGTTTTAATAATGTAGTAGAACGGACATCTGGAGAATTAGTGCTACCTGTCCTGGTGGGAAGGGTTACCCTGGAAACGACATTCCATGTCATGAACCAGGAAACGGCCTACAACGCCATCATAGGACGATCGTGGGTACAGGCCATGCGAGCCGTCCCTTCAAGCTTCTATAATCAAATTTCCCACCCCATGAGGATATTCAGCATCCGAGGTGAGCCACGTACCGCCCAAGAATACTACCGGATCACCCAAGATTGCACACACACCAAACAATTAAAGGGTGCAAGTGCGGAAGCATAGCAATCAGCCATGTCATGAACCAAACCCGACGTACCAGTGGAGGCCATCAAAGACCCGGACATCGTAGAGGCCTGCAAGGCAACCATAGAAGATCTCGACCCCATCCAATTGGATAACACCGATAGCACAAAAAAGGCTTATATTAGACACAACCTCTCGGAGCCAGGTAAGTGTCGTGAGTTTTTAACTAAAAAATTCGGTATGTTTGCTTTCTCCCACTCAGATATGCCAGGAATCCCAAGGGATATCGCCACACACAGGATGAATGTCGATCCACTTTATCCGCCGGTACGGCAAATAAGGAGAAAATTCAATGCTGCAATCAATGAGGCGGTCAACGAGGAGGTTGATAAATTACTCGCCAACAGTTCCATCAGAGAATCGAAATACCCCCAGTAGGTCGCCAATATGGTCATGGTCAAAAAGAAGAACGGGAAATGGCGTATGTGTGTTGACTTCACCGATCTAAACAAATCATGCCCGAAGGACTCTTTTCCGTTACCTCACATCGACCAACTTATTGATGCAACAGCGGGGCACGAACTGCTAAGCTTCTTAGATACCTACTCCGGCAATAACCAAATTCTAATGGCCGAAGAAGATCAAGAAAAGACCACATTCATCACTCATCAAGGAACGTACTGCTATAAGGTGATGCCGTTCGGGCTCAAGAATGCAGGGGCCACGTATCAAAGGTTAGTCACCAAAATGTTCAAAGAACAACTCGGTAAGACCATGGAGGTCTACGTCGACGACATGCTAGTAAAGTTGACAAAGAAAGAGGATCACATTGGTCATCTGAAGGAAGCTTTCGAGATATTGAAGCGGTACGGGATGAAGCTGAATCCCGAAAAATGCGCCTTCGGCGTAACTTCAGGAAAGTTCCTCGGTTTTCTAGTGTCACAAAGGGGAATCGAAGTCAACCCGGATAAAATCAGGGCCATCGATGCAATACCGGAGATACTGACCAGCAAGAAGCAAGTGCAGAAATTAATAGGGCGAATAGTCGCCCTATCGAGATTCATTTCACGATCCTCGGATAGATGCCACAAATTCTTCAATGTGCTAAGAAAGGATCATGGACGGCAATGGAACGAAGAATGCGTCGACGCCCTGAGAAAACTGAAAACATACCTCTCCTCGCCACCACTACTCGTCAAAGCGAACCCGGGTGAATGTCTACTAGTGTATCTGGCAGTTTTCGAAGTTGCGGTAAGCGCAGTCTTGGTCTGCGAAAATAAAGGTACGCAGTCTCCGATTTACTATATCAGCAAAACCTTAATCGATGCCGAAACAAGGTACCCTCACCCCTAAAAACTAGCTCTGGCATTGGTCGTAGCTTCACGCAAGCTTAGACCGTACTTTCAATGTCACCCCATAAAGGTGGTGACAACCTTCCCCCTAAGAGGTATCCTACACAAACCCGAACTATCGGGTAGACTAGCCAAGTGGGCCATAGAACTAAGCGAGCACGACATAACATACCAACCGCGAACTGCCATTAAGTCGCAGGTGCTCGCCGACTTCGTCGCTAATTTCAGCACGAAAATATTGCCCGAGGTAGAACAGGAAGCACTCCGCGCTTCCTCGCATACCGACCTATGGGTCCTCTACACCGACGGTGCCTCTAATGCCTCGGGATCAGGACTGGGACTCGTCCTCGAAGTCCCTATAGGCGAAGTAATTCGCCAGTCCATACGATGCCCTGAGATGACTAACAACGAGGCCGAGTATGAAGTTGTGATTGCAGGTTTGAAGTTAGCCCTCAGATACGGCGCTCGACGACTCGTCCTCCATTGCGACTCTCAACTCGTGGTAAACCAAGTCACCGGGACTTTCCAAGTCAAGGAACAAAGACTACGAAAGTACCAATTGGAAATTCACAAACTACTACCAGAATTTGATGAGTGCCGCCTCGACCAAATACCCAGGCACAGAGTATCAAAGCAAATGGCCTCGCCAAACTAGCTGCGGCCACCAAAAATATCAACAAAAAAAAGTGGTCACTCTCCTCCACTCCGAAATTGACCACATCGAGGTACATTATATAAACTTAACTTGGGACTGGCATAACTGCCTCGTAGCATATTTGCAGGATGGAACGTTCCCGCAAGATAAAAAAAGAAGCCAAAAAACTCCGGGTACAGGCAGCCCGATACAGCCTCGTAAACGGTAATCTCTACAAAAGAACGTTCGGCAGCCCCCTAGCCAAATGTCTTGGGCCAAATCAAACAAGGCGAGTACTGGAAGAAGTACACGAAGGGCACTACGGCGCCCACACAGGGAATTGCGCCCTCGTCCGATGCCTTATCCGCGCTGGGTACTATTGGCCCACCATGAAAAAAGAAGTCGCGGACTATGTCAGGAGGCATGAACAGTGTCAAAAGTACGCCCCTATGATACATCAAGCGGGGGAACTCCTTCATTCCGTCACTTCGCCATGGCCGTTCATAAAGTGGGGAATGAACATAGTCGGCCCCCTCCCGGCAGGACGAGGTAAGGTACGTTTCCTGTTGGTTTTAACTGATTACTTTTCTAAATGGGTGGAAGCAGGTGCATACACTCAGATACGTGAGCAGGAGGTCATCGCGTTCATATGGAAAACGTAATATGTCGTTTTGGCATCCCCAAAGAAATCAGCTGCGACAACGAGCCTCAGTTCGCCGGAAAGAGAACGACTGAATTCTTCGAGAAATGGCACATCAAGCGAATACTCTCTACGCCATATCACCCTGCCGCCAATGGTCAAGCCGAATCATCCAATAAAGTAATACTGAATATATTGAAAATGAAGCTCGAGGATGCTAAAGAGCTATGGCCTGAACTACTACCGGAAGTATTATGGGCATACCGCACTACGCCAAAAACCAGCACAGGTGAGATGCCATATTCGCTGGTCTACGGGAGACACAGTTACACCCGTCGAAGTCGGAGTACCCAGTTTGAGATACTCCAACGAGAGCGGACCTAGTAACAACGAAAATAGGCTACAAGATCTAGACGAAGTCGAAGAACGGAGAGACATGGCCCACATAAGAATGGTAGCCCAGAAGCAGCAAGTGGAAAGGTACTACAACAAGAGGGCCAAGGTGCGACCGCTCAAAGTCGGAGATTACGTCCTCAAGGCCAAAACACAAGCAGAATTAATACCAATAATTAAAGAAAGAGTGCTAATACACTAAAGCAGAAATTATAAAACAAATAAAACAATTCAACATAAACTAACAAATTATAAATAATTTCATTAAATGTACTCGCATTATTTAGCAAAATTTATGAAATAGAGAATTAAAGATCACATTGTAGAAAGGTTTAATTTTGTGAAGTAAAATAAAGTTGATTTCTGTTGAATTAAGTGAAAAATATGAAGTAAAATAGAGAAAAGAAGAAGTAGAAGACACTGGAATGATAATTTTAGAGGAATTTTCAGAAACAACGATTGTTTAGTGGCTATTAACTTCCTATAACTATTATATACATAATTACTTCATATAGCTACTATATATTCAGTTGTTACGGTAGTGTATTCGATATATTCGCGCTGTTGTATTCATGAATACAACAACAAAAAATGCATAAAAATTAGGGTAGTCCAGATGTACGCACATGTATTCGCGCCATGTATTTATAAATACAGCAGCAAAAAATGCCTAAAATCAAGACAGTCTAGTTGTACGCACATGTACTCACATGTATTCACGCTGCTGTATTCATGAATACAACAGTAAAAAGCGCCTAAAATCAGGGCAGTCCAGCTGTACGCGCATGTATTCACATGTATTCGCGCTGCTGTATTCATGAACACATCAGGAAAAAGCGCCGAAAATCAGGGCAGTCAAGCTGTACGCACATGTATTCACATGTATTCGCGCTGCTGTATTCATGAATACAACAGCAAAAAGCGCCTAAAAACAGGGTAGTCCAGTTGTATGAGCATGTATTCACATGTATTCGCGCCATGTATTCATAAATACAGTAACAACAATCACCTTAAAAATAGGTTTGTCCAACTGTTTAAGAGAGATGAAAAACATAAATAGCGTATTTCATGCCTCAATGGTAGTATAAATATAAAAGGTAGCTATAGAAAATAATATTTTAAAATAATTTTAATTTATAATAATAAATAATGTGTATACCTTTGCCATGAAAGATAAAATTTCCATAATTTACAAGGTAAATAGTGGTTATTCATTGCACCTTCGCTGTAGCAATAGAAATAGAAAAGGAAAATTTTCAAAAATCAATAAAAGGGAAAAGGGGACTTGAACACATGACCTCATCTTTAGCCTTGAACCCGCTTAACCATGCTTACAAACGTAAAATTCACTTTAAGTTGGTTCAAATATGTTCTAAGATATACGTATTTCCACTATTTTAAATATAGATTACTGAAGAACACGGTACTATTTTTTTGAGCTCAGAACCAAAATATTGTCTTCTTTGACTCAAAATACTTTTTTAGATTAAAAAAAACTTAATTATTAAAATATGTCTTTAACCGCGTTTTAGGATTATAAAAAGACATTTGAAACCGTGTTTGACCCCGTTTGGCCATGAGTTTTGCCAAAATAAATTTGGGATTTATTTTCAAAACTCATGTTTGGCCATAAATTTTTCCACATTTTGGCAAGATCCCAAATCCCAAACCCCAAATCTCCAAAATCTCAAAACTTGGGAATTATATACATGTTTTTCCAAAATAAAGTTGGAAAATAAGTTTTGAAAACGTATGTGTTTGACTCAAAAGATACTAGAACCTTTTTGAACAAATCAATCAAAGATTAAAGGGTAAATCTTAGCTGAAGGTAATAATCTCTTTAAAGATTGATAGCAAAGGAGAAGATAGATTACAAGATTTCCATTTGCCAATAATAATGTTTTTTTTTTTGGAAAAGATCCTCCTCATTACAAGGTTATAGTCCTCTATTTATACTCGTAAAGGAACCCTTCTAAACCGCACAAAACAAAGAGCAGAGAATATTTTAAGGAATATTCCTGATGTCCCCTAATAGCTATACACTACTGCTAGGGTCGTCCAGTCTTGTCGTCGGTCGTGGTAGGTCAATCGTCGTACTCATCGTCGGTCGTGGTCGGTCAAATTTGGACCCATACAGTTAGTCCCTTTGCTTGTCGGGGTCGCGTCTGGGTGCGTCCTTGAGCGGACATCATGCGTTCCTATGGAGAAATTTGAGCCGTTTTGGCATTACGAAACAGCCAATGGAGAGAGGTCAGTACACTGTGCAAGATATCGGTAGTATACTTTACCGGGAAATGATGTCATCTTTACGTGCGTCATCATTGCGCACGTTTTCGAGGTAGGATGCTTTGGTTTTAGCGTTGCTTTATGACTTTTTGCTTCGATTTTGGCGCCACCCATCCTTATAAATAGATGAAGGGTTTGTTTTTTCAAAAGTTTTTGGCCATTCCTCTCTTGATATCCTCCTTTATTCTTCCGAGTTTTCTTTCATACCTTCCTGCTTCTTCTTACGTTCTTCACTCAAAGCTTTCTCCTCTTCCTTTCTGGGTTGATATCCCTTCGAACGATATTATGCCGAAGTCTTGTCGTTCTCGTGAGGAAGTTACTGAGGCCACCCCATTATCCATGGCGCCTCCTTCTGGCAGTGAGGAAACGGTGGAAGAGGAGGGTGACAGCCTTCCTACGGTGGAGGAGCTGCTGCCGAGGCATCCCCTGTCTCGAAGTGACTTCCTTAAAGATCCCCCCTACTCCGGCCCCCGTATTCTCTGAGATGGAGCAAATTCATATCGATGCCCTTCGTGTGAAGTACGAGATTCCTGCTCATGTAGAGATGGTTTCAGTGGAGAGAGACTACGTAGATGTCCATAGACCCGGGTACTGTGCTTTCTATGAGTACCCTTTCATGATTGGTTATACCTTTCCTCTTTTCCCTTTGGCGGAAGAATTCTGTAGATTTTACCAAGTTTGTCCGGTGCAGCTTTTGCCGTATACGCTCAAGGTACTTCTGCTACTGACCAAGTGTGCCGAATTGGCAGAGTGTAATGTTTCCATCCACCAACTTTTGCACTTATTCACGCCCGGCTTTCACAGAGGTACCATGGTGCACTTGAGGCTCCGTAGTACGAAGATGTTTACCCTATCGGGGATGATGTGTAGTCTTTGCTTGTACTTGCTTTTGTTTTGGGATTTTTGCAGAGGGCGTACTTGAGCCCGTTTGTGAATATTGTAAATAACATTTTGATGCAATGTAAAATATATTTTGTCGATTTGCTCTTCTTTGCAATGTTTATGATATCGGGGTTACTTGTCGATGGCCTTGGCCATTGGGATGTTACTTCGAACTGTCGTCGAAGTAGGATCCCGTCGTAATTCGGACGAGGTGGAACTCGTGTTTTTTGCCGATGGCCTTGGCCATTGGGATGTTCCTTCGAACTGTCGTCGAAGTAGGATCCCGTCGTAATTCGGACGAGGTCGAACTCGTGTTTTTTGTCGAATGGCCTTGGCCATTGGGATGTTTCTTCGAACTGTCATCGAAGTAGGATCCCGTCGTAATTCGGACGAAGTCGAACTCGTGTTTTTTGTCGAATGGCCTTGCCCATTGGGATGTTGCTTCGAACTGTCGTCGAAGTAGGATCCCATTGTAATTTGGACGAGGTCGAACTCGTGTTTTTTGTCGAATGGCCTTGGCCATTGGGATGTTGCTTCGAACTGTCGTCGAAGTAGGATCCCGTCGTAATTCGGACAAGGTCGAACTCGTGTTTTTTTTTTTATGGCCTTGGCCATTGCTTGGAGATTTGATCGTATTCCCGTAGGAAGACATGTTGATTTTGTTCATGCAATGGATGTTTAATTGTATACTTGTAAGGGTCACATGTCGACTAATGGAGATTTCATTTTGCACATACAATGGAGGTTTGATTCTGTACATACAATGGAGATTTTGATTCCGTACATATAATGGAGATTTGATTTTGTACATACAATGGAGATTTGATTCAGTGCATACAATGGAGACGATTATTTATATCCAGTCCCTTCATTATTTCGCCCCGGAGACCATGTCGACGGGTCGGGGTAATGAACAGAACACCGATCCTCGAGGCACCTCCCTTGTCGCCTCGTTAAAAACCTCCCCGGGAAAACCCGATTGGGACAAAACCCGGGTGAGGGAAAAACAGTACGAATCAGATGACGCCTTCTTTTAGAAGTGGAAATATTTGAGGTGAGCGACATTCCAGTTGTTTTGGAGTAGTTTTCCTTCCACTGTTTCTAACTGGAATGCTCATTTGTTTGCTGTGGCAGTGATTTTGTACGGTCCGTCCCAATTTGTTCCTAGTTTTCCTTCATTATGACAATAAAGAAATAAATTTAGCAATAATAAAAAATAATTATATAAATAATATACTGCTATATATAGAGAAAAAGCAATTGTAAATCTTTTTTATTATCCTCTATTTGTAGATAATACATGCTTAGTTATAAACACAAAAGAATTTAATAATCTGTCTAATTTCTTGGAATTAATAAAAAAAAATATTGGTTAAATAATTTTCTTGTTAAATTTTAACAAAATTTTGAAAATTAAAATTTGTTAAATTAAATAGATAAGAGTGTTTGGTTAAAAAAAAAGATAAATTACTCAAATAGTTAGGAGGATTTAGTTTATGTACTATTAAAATGCCAAAATTTTAAAATATAGTGCACTCACTTTTTAAAGACTTAATTTTAGCATCAGGCTTTAAACAACGAGGACCAAAAAGGATAAGGATTAACAAAAAATCGACCAAATTTTGTTGGTCGTGTTCGATGCCGCTTATACTATGGATTCGCGTCATTTTAAATTGAACCCGCTTATGTAAAATCCTAGGTCCGCCACTGAAATTGAGTAACTGTAAGAGTACGACGAAGTTGTGAAGCAATTGGAGGTTGAATGCAGGTTATCTTCGCTAAAAATCAAACGAAATCAGCCGATTCATTCGCCGTTGAAAATGGCGGAATACATCGGAGGTGTTTGTATTAGCGACTTTATTTTGTAGTAAGTAATGAGTTTTACAGATTGCATTGGAAAAATGGCCAAATATACCCTTTCTACTTTGGGATGTTATCTATATTTAACCTCTGTTATACTATTTGGCCAAATTTATCCCTACCGTTGTACTATCCCGCCAAATTTATCCCTATCGTTATACTATCCCGCCAAATTTATCCCTACCGTTGTACTATCCCGCCAAATTTATCCCTATCGTTATACTATCCCGCCAAATTTATCCCTATCATCAACAAAATTTAAAAAATTATCCATCAGTCCGTCAGATGACCCATCTTCCAAATCTTTTTAATTAAGAATACAACAAGAACGCCTCGGTTCCAAAAAAGTTGGGATCAACTATATGAGTCCTCACGGACCATGTTTACTTTAACAACGACAACAACAAATCCAGTATTAGTCCATAATTGGGGTCTGGGGAAGGTAGTGTGTACGCAGATCTTACCCCTGTGTTGAAGCTAGAGAGGTTGTTTACTATCGCCCGGAATGTTGAATAATCTCTGCATCTCATCAGTCATCTCATAAGCTAGATCAGTATTTCCAACCATTTCATATCCCAGAATCATTATTTTATAAGTGATGACATCAGGAGAGATGTTCTCTTTTCTCATTCTATCAAACAACCTCTCGGCCTCATCCATTCGATGTAACTTGCAAAATTTATCAATGAGGCAACTATAAGTCTTGACATCAGGAGGGATATTCTGTCTTACCATCAATTTTAGCAACTTCTTGGCCTCGTCCATCTGATCTACCTTGGAAAATGCATCAATGAGGCAAGTATAGGTAACAACAGTAGGCAAGAGTTCTCTTTTTTGCATGTCGCGGAACAAAGCACAAGCCTTTTTCACATCTTCAATTTCACAAAGGCCAGCGATCATGGAGGTGTAACAGATGTTATCGGGATTCAAACCCTCCCTGATCATTTTCCTAAATAATTTGTAGGCTTTTTTCACTTTTCTCCGTCTGTAGTGCTTTCTCACTTTTCCCCGCTTGCATAACATGTCAATAAGAATTGTATATGTGGTGATGTCAGGAGTAATCTCAAGCTTTAGCATTCCCCTGTAAAACATACCAGCCTTCTTAAAATTGGACTGTTTAACAAATCCATCGATAAGAGTATTAAGAATCATAACATTGGGAAACATGTCCCTCTGAAGCATCACTGTGATTAACTCCAATGCTTTCTTTGGGTTTATATCTTTGCACAACTGGTGAATGACTACATTATAGGTATACAAGTCTGGGACGATCCCTTGGTCCACCATTTCATCAATTAGATGCAAAGCTTCCTGCAAACGCCCTTCTTTCTCTTCTGTGTTTTCATCTTTGCACAAGTGGTTAATGACTACATTATAGGTATACAAGTCGGGGACGATGCCTTGATCCATCATTTCATCAATCAGGTGCAAAGCTTCCATCACACGCCCTTCAGTACAGTACTGCTTAACAATAAAATGGCAGGTAATGGAATCAGGCAGGAAACCTTCTCGTACCATCATATTTCGGTACTTCAACGCTGTATCAATAGACCCAATGTGGCAGGAAGCACGAATTAATCTCTTATAAATTGAAGCATCTGGAGCAAAGCTACTGCTGATCATCTCCTCCAGTAGCTCATGGGCTGAACTCAGATCTCCTTGAGCACAAAATCCGGTAATTAAGATGTTGTAAGCACGTTGCTCAACTTTGCACCCAGAGTTCTTAAGGTCATGAAGAAAATCCTTGGCGATTTTCGCTGCTCCAATGTTGCACAAACCCTTAAGAATTGAGCTATAGCTAATTGGGTTAGGCTTGATGTTATTATCTTGCATATCCTGAATAAAACACAATGCTCTATCAATACTGTAGAATTTGCAGAACCCACCGATTAGAATGCTATAGCTACAGACATCTGGTGATATTCCAAAACTCCTCATTTCTTCTAAAACGCTTATAGCTTTACTTACTTCACCCTCAGCAAAGAATCCGTGAATAATAGCATTGTAGCAGTAAGAATTCAGAGGTTGGTTCTCATATCTCAGCTTCCGAATGAATTTCCAAGCAACATCAGGACATCCAATTCTACAAAGTCCATGGACCCATACACTATATGTTGAAGCAGAAGGATTGATCTGTTTTTCCCACATTTCTTTCAGAATTTTGTAGGCTTCTTTTATATCTACGACGGTCTGTTGCCCTGGATAATATGTGCAGTAGAAGTTCATCATGATTGTGTATGTCCTCACATTAGGTGATGGTCCAAATTTCTTCATTGCCTCAAATAGTTTTACAAGATTCTCCTTTTGGCTTGCTTCTGCCAAGCATTTCAGTAAGAAATTACACGAATAAATACTCGGTTCAAGCCCAATTTTCTTGAGCTGATTAACAACGTCAATAACATGATCAAGCATATTATTTGCAGCAAACACCTTGATGAGTACATCAGCTAGAACAGTTGAACTTGTAGCATTATTAGGTGATGAATGCAGAGCAATGTGGATTACATTACGCAAGTCAATACCAGTGTTCTCAAAGTTGAAAACAATATCTTTGAGCAAAGCATACACTTCCCTATCCATCCCTGCAAACACAAAAATATGTACCATCGCGGTAAAGGCGTTTATCGAATGAGACAAGCCATACTTTTTCACAGCTTTTTTAAAAGGGATTTCTTTTGCAACTTCCCAACTCAAAGACTTGCATACTCTCACTACAACTGAATAAAGCTTGCGACCTTTGCAGCTATGTGATCTTCTTATCGGAATAACAGCTTTATCAGAATCATACACTAACTGTACTGAAGAAGAACCACAATACTTTCTGCAAAGGCTTCTTTCTAAACCCAATTCATGTAAATGGTTGAATAACAGGTTGAAGGAAGAGTATCTTGGTAACAAACCTAATCCCATAGAAGAAAATTTTGACTACCCAAACAATAATACAACAACACCAAACCTCACATATCTGGGGTAGAGTGTACGCATACCTTATCTCTACTTTGAGACGGTAGAGAAGCCATTTCCGATAGAATCCGGCTCATACCCAAACAATTATATAACATCAAAATTATGACAAACGGCCCAAGAAAAAATTCTTTGCGTAAAGTTCACACCTTTCTTCAAAATCTCAACGCCCATCTAACAGAAAGATAATACCATCATCACTAGGCAAGCTCCAGTGGTCAAACTCTAAGCTCTAATGCGAAATTCAAGCAATCTTGAAAGAGGGAAGCACAAGAATGAATACTAGAGCTAAAATCGATGACGCAAACTGAAAAAGATTGGAACAGTTCACCTCAGCAATTTCAGTTTGACTGAGGGGGATCGAACAGTGCGGACCCAATATTTTTGAAAATAGGTTATCTTCTGCAAGAGAAAGCCAAGACACCAGTTAGAGGTCTTCTTCTTCTTCTTCTCACGGCGGCTCAAAGCATAAGCCACTATTTAGGAACCCTTAATAGTAGGCTATAGGTTGATTTTCCTTTTTTCCTTAAATGGAATGATGAATATTCTTCGGAAGTAAAGGTCGGGGGGTGATTTATTCATTGTGTTTTGCAGCTTTTTGTTGATTGGTGTCCATTTTTGCAACAGTTTCTGGATTCAAGTGCTTTCTGGGGGATAACTGGGGTTCTGGTTATCAGGCTAAAAACCTTCTACTGCTACTCTGGTAGAACTTTAACAAATAATTTGTGATATGTAGATAGTTTTCTTTTATATATGATTATTATTATTATTATTAAAACAATATTTAAGTAATTACACACCAGCGATTCACCTTCCTTTTATTCGAATTATAAGTTTTTTATTATCTCTTCTATAGTTTCTCTTGAAATCAAAATCAAACTTTGTACAATATGACAATATTTGAAATATTACTTTGTAAGTTAAATTAACACATGGTAATAAAAAGAAAGAGTGAGGAATGGATTATTTAATTGCATAAAATCAGAAATAGTCTGATTTACGATTGGTAATTGAGAAATAGTCGCAGTTTTAAAAGTAATCGAAATTTAGCCATATTTTCATGTAAAGATAAAATATGAACAAAAACACCCTTATAATATGATGAAGTTTGACTTTTGTATATATGAGATTTAAGCATAGTGTACTATAATTTCATAATGTGTTGGAGTTCCAACATAATATGATGAAAGTTTATATGCAGTAACTCCATAATCTGGCATATTATGCTAGAACTTTCCGTATTTCAACCAGGATATTTTTATCCCTCCGTTTTAGTTTAGGTGATGTAGTTTGAAAAGTTTCTCATTAAGGTTAAGTAGGTAAAACAAAAAAGTTTAAAGTTTAAATTGTTTCTAACTTTTATGTTTTATTCTTTTTGGAACGGACTAATAAGGAAAGTGTGCCATTGAATTGAAAATGATGGAATTGATATTTTTTAATGACTTTACAAAAACTGACTATTTTTTAGATTACTAGTTCAAATATTGATTAGCCCATGCTATTTTCACGCACAATTCCTACATTATCTAGTATGTCAGAACACTTCTTGAGAGTATGATTTTCTTTTCTTTGATGATAGATTCTTCTCCTTATTCTTCTGAACAGCTTATGCAGTGAAACGATTGAAGGAAGAAGTCAGAGCTCGAGCCACATTGAAAATCCGCAGTGAAGTAGTTCTTCTGCACTCAAAAGCCGTCTTTCGATTTTTACCACGGTCATATGAAAAAATCTATTGCATTTTGATGATAACTTTCCCCTAGACGTAGCTATAAATAGGGAACTCTATTAACATTGGAAAGCGACCAATTTTCTGGCAAACGAATACTACAATCTATTCAAAGCTCTATACAATTTTATCTTCTTATTTTCCGTTCTTATTATTGTTGCGCCCGGAGGCTTCGCTGCCAGAATCCTTATTTCTATCATTTTGTCTTCATATCAAGGCTAAGTATTATAAATTTCTTCAATTATCTTATTATTTTAGGATTGAATTAGTATAGGTCGAGGGGTTTGCAAAAACGTGAGGAAACAGAGAGGCTTCCGCATAATTAATACAAGATTATAAAATCCATAGCTTTTGGGTTTTTCTTTTTAGAGCCATTGCATAAGTTTCTCCTTCAGCAGTCACCATAATTAAGAGAAGTAGAACAAATACTGGTTGACTATATGATGAGATCCAAGGGAGTTCAATAAAAATTGTACAGTACTAAAAATCAACATATCCACTTTGATGGATTAAATGCTTAAAAAGAATATTTAATATGGTGAGTGTTATTCAATAATTCAAATAGCTGCTGTAGCAGCTTCGATATCATCAGATTCATCAGCTATCATTTCATCACGAAATAGCAGTTTAAGATATGGAAGAACTCTTGGAAGCATGGGTAGGTCTGCTAAGTTAACACTCATCATATCAAAAGCAATGCATGTTTTGTGCATGTGTGTTTCATCGAAAACTGGGATTTTAGGGTATCTTTGACTGAAGTGAGTGAGGATGATACGATATGCTCCAGCAGAGTCCCCTACTTCGATGGCTTCCTGTGTTGTGCTATGATTTCTTGCTATGGCCTCCTCCACCATGCCATCTTCAAAGGTAGCCTGCAGTAAGCACCCGAAATAATAAACTATAAATTTTATTCAAGTTGAAAGTTGCAAGTGAAGAAAAGAAGATGGAGAAACCAGATCCAACTTAAGACGAGGTCAGCCATCAGAAGGTGACTCCATAAATAGCAACAAAAGAAAACATGTAACAGGAAAGAGGCAGAAAAAAGAGGAGCGAAATTAAGTTTGTAGAAAGCATTAACATACAACTCGCACTGACGACATCATGAGCTATGAGGACAATTGCAGTTCAAGAAGGAACAATATTCAGAAAAACAAGCTATCTATGGAATGATACTCAGTGATCCAGTAACTATTCAACACTTAGAGAGTCGCATCCATATTACAACATAACACAGAAAATCAATATGCTGTTTGACTTTGCATGATAGTAGGTACAATGAAAGTTTGAGTTCTTGTATAATGCTAAAATGGGAACATGTGGCAACTAAAATTCTCATGATAAGCGTTAAGCCCAGAGTACAGTATAGTATGTGGTAAAATACTAATATTAGGAAGGTAAACAGTAATCTGGGACAGCCAAAAATAAACAAATAACGGAATTTGGGAAATATACTTGTAATCAAAGGGGAAACCAAAATGACACTATAACAACTTGCCTCATGTATGAGAACCGTTGCACCACGCGAAGCTTCAACTAGTTCTGGACAAGGCCTAGTGTCACCAGAGTATACAATTTTCCATCCTGGTATCTTCTTCCCAGTGCTATTAGTCCTATCAGCAGCCTTCAAGACAGCACCATATGCTTGTGGACAATGAATAACAGGAAAGCTAATCAATGCCTCCAATCCTGCTTCTCTGAGAATTTCCTTTAATGTCTTCAGCAATGGGAATGCAGCCGCTGCATCAACCGGACTGCCTGGCCTCTTCCAATAACTCTCCATACGGCTCCCTTTAGCAAATAAGGTAGAACCATTCTTTTGGTCACTTGGTACACATGCACTCTCACTCACATCCTTGTCTCCAGTTGACTCGAAAGTCTTTAATGAAGCTTCTGTAGTATGCCTACAATCAAGGAACTGCATATCCAGATCCTCAAGTTTTTGGTATGCATCGAGGAATCTCTTAAGCTGCCTTGGGCCCACAACAATTAAAGGTTCATGAGGAGTTTCATTGAGCAAATCGCGTTGGAGAGCAAGTATTCTTGCAAGACCAGTATGATGATCAGCATGAATATGAGAAATCCAAATACACCTTAAACCTTTTACGGCTTCATCAGCACCTTCAATGCCAAATCTGTTAAATAAAAAACACGTTATCCCTCTCAATTTGAGGTCAGACAAAAACCATATGTAAATAGAAGTTGAGGGTTATGAACTTATACATTACCTTCTTTTGAGCTGTCCCAATGTTCCTTCACCACAATCTAACAGAATACTTCCCTTTGAGAAAAGATTGACAAAAATAGAACTAACATTCCGATATTTTGAAGGCTGAGATGAACCAGTTCCAAGAAGAACAATCTCCACGTCCTCTCTTGTTACACCTTTCAAACAACTAGGTAATGCAGTTTCATGCAACCAGGGCTCTTCGATCATAACTTTGTTCGCCTGCATAGTCGCACTGCCTCCATTTGTAACATTGTTGTCATGCAACATCTGGGTAATACGTTCAGAAGCATCTGATATTTCAGGAATTTCTGATATTAACTCTTCTATGATTTTTGGCCGAGAAGTAATTTCAGGAATACCAGATCTGTCTAACCCAAGCTGCGCATATGGACGAAGATGAAACTGTTCGACGAAAAGAAGTTCATTTTGAATGATGTCCAACCCAGCATCAAAGTCAAACAATGCATGAGGTCAATTGCACTAAATCTTATGGAAAATTCAAACGCATTCCTAACAAAATGAAACCAAAAATTGGTATGCAGTTTCTAGGTTCTAATTTTGCGCCAGAAGCAATTGGATCAAATTAAATAAACTTTCTCACCTTGAGGAGGTTCTCTGCCGTAACTTGACATGAAGAGAACTGCAAAAAAAAGTTATAATTATAATTTCTTAATTGAACAAGTATACCCAAGATTAAATCACTGTCCAAAGTAAACTTATCTTTTATTCAAACATAATTCCAATATAATGTACCTCACTTGGGGTCTTAGAGACTGAGGATAAGCTCTTCAACTGCGGAAGGGACCAAAAACCAGGCGCAGGAAAGAATTGAGGGCACAAATAATTCAGTCTTGAGGCGATTCTTGCACTCGACTTCAGTATTGGAATTTCAATATTCTTCCTGCGGTTTGTACAAGAAAAATCATATTACCTGGTATAAGCAGGAAATATATATAACAGCACAAAGCTGTATATCAGCCTGAAAAGATGAGAACGTTAAAAGGCTACTCACGGCTGATGTCCTGCCATGATGTGCTGCGCCTCACCAAATCTTGACATCCATTGCTGATATTCAGTTGAACATGTTACTGAAGCAGGACTAAGGTGTATCACACAATCAACTTTTTTGCACATTTCCTTGGATTCTTCGGATGGATATGAATAATATGGAGTAAGAGAATGTATAGACGACAATTCTTGCAGATGAGATGGTGTTGGGCAGTCAACAACAAGTACAATAGGACCAGGAACAGAAGGCCCCAATACATCACTGGGATGAACCTTCGCAAAAAGTTCATTGAAAACAAATGAGATAAGTACGAAGTAAAGTAATGGAAAAAAATAATCCTTTAACTTACCATGATATCTTGGCGATCTGACTGTACTGAATTCCCAAGTTGCAATTCACGGTATTTTGGGCCAGGCCTCAACCCAAGAGCAGCAGCCTTTTTGGGATCAAATTTTCCCTTAATTTCAGGCAACTCACAAATATAAACCACCGAAAGATCCCCAGGCTTTAATGCAAATTCAGCTGTGGAATGCATCCTCCGCACTAAATGGTTCTCTGCCAAATGATTGACACCAACTAGAGGATCATCCAGCTCAGAGGATCCTTCCTTTGTCGTGTCAGACACTTTTGAGTAACGTGGTCGCAACAGAACAGCAGATATTTTGACAACCTCATCGTTAATAGGAACATAGAGATCATCACTCGTCCCTGAAGAAGCAGTACTAACATCAACTGATCCAACAGTTGGGCCAAAACTCCGTGCATGGACCATGGCGGCATTTGGGATGAATGATTTCATTGCATCGACCAAGTACTTGAGATCAGAAGGACCCCATAAATTGACCTTCAAATTAAAAATTGTAATTGGCATCATTTTGTAAACACCATTTGTTTTTAGCTAATTATTTGATCGACATATCATAAATAAACCAAGCCAATATGATACTCACAGACATTCCTTCTTCTCCCATGCCAGCCAAAGTCAATAAAAGACCTGCAAGTAAAAGGATTTAACATATTTATGAGTTCTCCTCTGGCAATCATTAATCCAATTCTATAGTTCCAGCATTGATTGATCTAGGCAATCAATAGGCTAACAGCCTTCATTTCACTCTTAAAAAACTCTGTAGTAACAAACCTGGCAGTCCACCGGCAGTTTCCGAGCAGACCCGTGATAGAAATATGTGATCTATCTGGGAAAGAAGAAAGAAAAGGTAAGCTTATATTTATCTTTCACTAAAGGATCAACACCATACCCAGAAAAGAAGAGTTGGGAAATATAAATCTGATTTAGAACAGAAGAATTATGCATCTCCGTACCTTTGACAGCTTAATTTTGTGCTCTGTGCAGAAGCGTTGCAATCCCTGAGCAGAAAGAAATTTTTTAGGTGCGACGAAATAAGTCTTAGTGTACTTTCTGCTTATTCTGCTCTGTCCTAGAACCTCTTCACAAAGGAATAAGAACCAAAAAAGAGCATCAAACGCATATGGACGGAAAACAGTCAGCACAACAACATTGTGAAAAGAAAACCCAGTAACTTAGCCATCTCAAAAATAAATAAACCAGTAATTTAGTCATGAAAATAAGTAGGATTAAATTTTTTAAAAGAAACCTTTGTAAGTAATTAAATATCTAGTAACAAGGAAACTAGTCTTTCAAGTCAGATTAGTATTCTGCTTCAATCAAACAGAAACAACAGAGGAATCAAGTGCCACACCGAATGGATTTGAATTCCACAATTACAAAATACTTACTTCTCCGGCATTAAAAATAAACCTCTGTTTATCAAAGAAGAGAAGAACTGAGGGTGCTGTATCTTGTGTATCCATGCCGGTCCCAAGTATCTGCAAGGAATTTAAAGAAAGAAAAGAAATTAATGATTTTTCTATTTCTTCTTCATGAGGAGATGAGGGAGGAATAATATGAGTTATTATATTTTAAAAATCACAAATTCAGGTATGTATTGGGAAATAAGAAGCAAATCCAACCAGATAATCCCATATGGATTCAAGTATCTGACTAAATTAGAGTTACTTTAAAATCCATTTATGCAAAATAAGATTATCAGGTCTGTGACTTCCAACCAAAAATGCTCATAAATAGGCTTTATGTTTAGTTAGTTCTGGAAACGTAACGATCATGTTGAGTTAAATGAGTGTGTTATATTGTTTGTTCTAATACTGAACTGGAATCTCCTTTGTTGAAAATGTTTTACTTGAAGAAAACATATTTGGTGTTAAATTGTGGAAAATGTTTTCTCCAAGGAAAATATTTCCTATCAAAAGGGGCAAAATAGAAGTCATTTTTCAATCAATATCCTCTCTTTGATAACCATGGTATCAAGACCAACTTGCAAGCACCTTAACTAATACCTCCACCAGCTACCTGCTACCTCCCACTAGCTAGCAGAGATACCGGGTAACTTACTCCTACTCCATATAGTTTACCTCACTTATACATTGTTCTCAATCTTTATCATATTAAATATCGTCAAAGCACTATCCTCTTATCGTATCCTACACTTTGTAGATTGAAGAACTAACAATAAATTGAACAAAAATAAGAACAGCATACATAACTATATTCATATTGGTGACACGGGATGCTTTCCTTCAGCAACTTATATAGTACCTGAACATATGAGATTGTATTAACAGGGTTAAGTTTGCGGACTTTGAGTTGAAGGTTCTTCTTCCCATCGTTCTTATCCTTACCCTCAGCCCTTCTTTTATTAAAGCCAACAGACTCAGCAGTTGGGCCCTTCTCTTCCATTGCCATCTTCCCTTTATTATCTGCCTTCGAACTGCTCCGCCTTCTTAACGAACTGGGCTGTTCGATGTTTCTCGGTTTTCTTGAATATGAAGAGAATGCGGCAAAGAGGAAACGGGGGTTGTGAGTGTGTGATTTGGGTTGTTTGAGTCTGAAGAGGTGAGAAAGAGAGGGAGGAGGTTTAGGGGTTAAGGGTGAGAGAATTCGGGGGTGATTGGCGGAGGAGATTAGGAGACGAAGGTTTGAGATTTGGGGCATTTTTATTATTTGTAGTGTTTGCATATAGAGCCCCAGGGTTTTAGAAAGCCGGTTGACTAAAGCTCCGCTACATAAAACCCCGCCCATGCGCACTTGCCATTTGCATTTGTTACTGATTCGCGTCGGGTCGCCTGGCTTATTGTGGCTCTTTTCTTCCCTGTCCTTAATTCACAAAATCTGTGTTTTAGAGTACGGAAAAGGGTCTGATATGTCTTTTTGTAAAGATAAATTGTTTAATGTTGTTCCCCGTTATACTATTGGGCCATAAAACTCTCTAACGTCTTACTATCCTAATAAATATTTCCTTAATTAGATGAAGGTAACACGTGGCATTCATCTGTGCCCTTTTTATATCTGGCACATATTAAGCGACCTGCTCCACGAAACCCCCATACCCATAACCTGTAACCCGTAATTTCTAATACAAAATAAACCCATTTCATTCTTTTTCTCTTCTTTCTCTTTCACTCTCTAGAACTCTCTAGCCTCTCTCTTCTCTATTATTTGTCGATTTGAACAACAAATGCCATAAAGGTAATACCTTCCTCCATTAAGATCATTCGTCTCTATTATATTATTTCTGTTAGTATTTCATCTTTTTAATTTTCTTATCGTTTTTTAAGGTTTTTATTCTAGGGTTTCAATTTCTTGGGTTTCATCTGCATCCAATTTAAGTTTCTGCAATTTCAAGGATATATTCTTATTTCTTGTATGTTTCTAGTATTTGCATACATGGTTTACGCCTTTGTTATTTATTTATTGCTGGGGTTCTTTGTCTTATGGGGTTATGTGGGGTTTGTTTGTTGTCTTTGTCAATAAAGTATATTTGTGTTGTCCGAAGTTTCTGCACTTTTTCATTGCTTATTAACAACTATGGTCCCCAATTGTGTGGCCATTTGATTGAAGTATTCGGGTATTTTGGATTCTTCTTTAAGGGGGGCCTCTTGTCATAAAATATTATTTTTTTGGCATTAATTATTTTTTTTCCATTACTGACTTTTACATTGTTTACTTAATATTTTCTAAGTGGTATATTTATTTGTTGTGTTTGATAGGTTGTTCGAGATGGTGCTAGTTGACTTAATATTCAATAGGTACAAATACCAGCTGGAACAAGGTCAATCAACTTCACTGGTGATCATAATGGTGTTAGTGTACCAACAAATCTACCATATTCAGCCCCAACATTACAGTGGAAGGGGAAGCTGTTGTAACTGCAAATCAGTTTGAAAAATACGGGCAAGAAAGAATTGGAAGCTGAAATCAAGAAGAAAAAAATAAAGACAAAGCTGGAATTTTTTTTGTTGTGTGTGGGATGTATTTACTGCAAACTTATAGCTCCCATTTAATATTTTGTGATTAATGGGTGGTTCTGAATGTTGTCAGTGGATATCAGATATCATATTATGATCCACTGACGTGATTACTGTAATTACAGTTTGTTTGTGTAAGTTTTTTGGAGATGTAATTACTAGAGTTACTGTGAAGAAATGTATGTTTTTGGTGATATAATTACTGAAATTGGGTGCCATATTAATCTAATTGTTTCGAAGTTCTAAGTTGCCATATTGGATTTCAATATTGTAAGTTGTTAGTTCTAAACTCTAAGTTGTAGTTTAATTGTTGTAAGCATTTTTCTTCAGGTGTCTATGTTTCAAGTGTCTGTTTCGAAGTGTCTTCGAGCATTTGGAAGAAACATATTTTATTTACGGCTTTGGCAAAGGAATTAAATAATTGAAACTAGTACAAGTCATTAGATAGGAGCATTAAAAAAGGACAACAGATAGAACATCAAAACACTAGTACTTGGAACATACATTAACAATTGATGTCATTGTTTTACAATGGCTAAAAAGTCAGTAGATAAGAGCATAGAAACGTCTAAGTATCACAAGAACTAGGAAGTGAAATATGGAGCATATGCCATCTTTCTTTTCAGAATTTACTTCATCCACATTGCCGTAACAAATCCAACAAAAAATGCAACTGAAATCGAAATAAACATCTTCATCTTAACTACTTTATCTTCGATTTCCCTTGCTTTGTTCACTTCAACATTTTTTGCAACCTCCAAATCTTCAACTTTTTCCAAATCCCTTTCTAACTTGCACGACTCCAACAATTGCTTCAACATATTGATTGTAACATTAGCAGCATCCAATTCACACTGCAACCAGGGGCGACTCAACAAGATTGGTGGCCTAAAGTAAATTTTTAATATGGGCCATTCAAAAGAAAAAATAATAATTCATCTATATTTTTAACTAATGTCTATTTTACTAGCTTTATAAATGTAAAGTTGTTAATATTTTCTTTTTATAAATAATTTAGTCTCTCCTAAGATATTGTTGATCTTAGATAATAGAACCAGATTCAAGAAGTTGATAACTTGATATCGAAATAATTTTTGATGTTCTAATATACTTGTTGAAATGCTTGAAATGTGAGAAGAAAAAAAGGAAAAAAAGGATGCGAATATAGTTTTATCCAACGGTACTCTTCAACTCTTGTTTTTTATAGAAAAAATTAAAAAAAAATCTTTCTACAAAGAACAATATAACTTTTAATTGGAAAAACAGAATCACTCCCCCTAAAACCTTGTCGCGAATATAAAACTTTTCATTATTTAAATTTTACGATTGGCATAATTAGTGAAGTATCTATATTATTATTCTCCTTTTATATTTCTCACTAAAACGTGTAATAAACTTTTAGAATCCATTTTTTGGTATATTCAATAGTCCAAGTCTTATTTTTTATCTTTACCTTTTATAAAAGAAAATTTCTTATTTTAGAATACCCAATATATTTAGACCCTACCTCTAAAGATTGCTATGAGATGTATATGATCCAACTTACCTTAATTAAATATATTAGGTTCGAGTCCTATGGTTAAATAAATCCTGTTAAAATGTGTTCTCTCTTTTACTAGACCTTACACGGTACCAATCTAAATTAGTCGGGGTCTCAATACAAATACGAGTAGAAAACAAAAAGAAAAATTTGGGGCCCCCAAAATTTGGGGGCCTAAAGCCTTTGCTTTAGTGGCTGGACCCTTGGGCCGCCTGCAACTTACTGATTTCTATAAACGCTCGATCCGGAAAAGGTTCGTCTTGCCATTCCAAATATTCACACGACTAGTTCTAACGATAATTAACAATAATTAGGTTAGAAGGAATAAAAAATCAATTTTTGTACAAACAATTAACAAACTAAACACATGAATTTTTTTAACTTACTTCAAGTTTAACATATTTATAGAATCTCCCACATGGATTTTGAGATGTGGTCGATCAAAAGTGGTTGGCAATCTCTCCACAACGGCACCTCCTCTTTGATGAAGCATTAGACTCCGTCATTTGACCAACTTTTACCACCACCAACAGAAAAAGAAATTTATGATGAAATTTGTTGCAATGGACTGTCTTGATGGAGCTTAGAGCATAGAGGGTTTGATGGAAATGGCCGTCGGAGCATAAATTAGGGTTGGGGTTTATTTTGTGTTATAAATCACGGGTTACGAGTTATAGGTATGGGGATTTTGTGGAGCGGGTTGCTTAATATGTGTCCAGATGTAAAAAGGGCATGGATGGGTGCCACGTGTCACCTCCGTCTAATTAAGGATACATTTGTTAGGATAGTAAGACGGCAGAGAGTTTTATGGCCCAATAGTATAACGGGGGACAACTTTAAACAATTTATCATAGTAGAGGGACAAATCATACCTTTTTTCGATTAGAGTATTTAAGCCAAGATAATACTAGGATACGAGTTCTCAAGTCGTCGTTAGCCGAAATGATCCAAGAAGTAGCAAAATCCATGGTCGAAGAATCGACGAGAGCCGTAGCCGAGATGTCAACAAGGATCTAGGTTAGGGGTGTGCATTCGAATCGGTTTATCGAATCGATTATTTGTTATCGGTTTATCAATATCGGTTTATCGATTTATCGATTTCAATTTCGATTTCAAAGTTTTCCTTATCGAGTTATCAATTTCGATTTCGATTTTGTCCTTTTCGGTTATCGGTTTATCGATAAACCGATAAGAAATACTAAAAAAAATATCTTTTTTAATTTTTTTTTAATTTTTTTTTTACCCTTATTCTATAATACCTTTTCCTTTACCCTAAGTCTCTAACCCTATTATTTCATCTACCACATTTAAGGAATAATCATATTTAAAGCTCAAGGGAATGAAGTTCAAATTAATGGAAAATAGAATTAGCCGTGATGATGTATTTTTACTTTTTTTATACCGTTGGAGTGTTGGTGGCATACATTTGATCCATTACTTTAGTTTCGTTGCATGTGCTTGTTGACACAATTTTTATGTTATAAACGGTGTTCATCTTATTTTAGCTTCTTTTGGTCCATATTAGTTAGGTGTATTTATAGCGATATACTTTTCCATGGTCCCGCAAATTTTCTTATTGGTGTAATCGATAACCGAATCGATAAGCCCCAAAAATCGATAAATCGAAATCGAAAAAATCGAAACCTTATTGAAACGATAATGATAAGCATATGTATAAATCAATAATCGATAAGTAATTATCGATAAGGGTCAAAATCGAATCGATAAATCGAATGCACACCCCTAATCTAGGTCGAGGTCGAGTATCGTTGATAGAGCTATAACGGCTAGTTTTCACGATAGGATATTAAAAGAGAATATTCTAGTGAATATTCTCTGCACTTGTACTATTAGAGTTTCTTAGGGACATGTCCCGTATAAATAGAACGAGGAGACAATGATAGGGGCTTGTAATATTCATTTGTAAAGAACACACTTTGACTAAAAGATTCGTCTCTCTCTTGCTAAAATACAAACACCACTTTTTCACTAAGATTTTTGTCTATACTTTTCCATTAGATCCGATAATAACACAAAATATTCAAGGATTTGTCTGTCATTCATCATTGTTAGGAGGAACATCCATATATTCGATCCCTTTTTGTGTAAATCAATCCTCCTATTTATTTAAATGACATTTATTGATATTTATTGTTATTGAATGTTACACTATTGCTCTTACTTTCTATAACAGTTATTGCATATTGCTGCCGTTGTCCAACCGGACCC